AAACAACATTATTTCACCAAGACCTGAAGTGAACAAGTTTTCAACGAAATTCCTTTGTTTCATGATGAGGATGGTTTCATCTGTTTTATCACATCTATTTATACTTTTTATATTTATAATTGTATTCTCCGTATAATAAACATATTCAATAAACCTTTCCAATTTCAACAGTCGATGATTTTCTCCCTTTAAAATCAAGCGGTAACGTCGGTGTAAATAAATATATTTTGGGGTAATAGGTAAAAAACTTCTTCGACCCCTGCGATATAGGCAGATTTGCGTTCTTAGAGAAGTTGTTCTTCTGCGATGCAGTTACTAGGGCTATGTAGCCAAAGTGTTGAACTGTTACAAATACAGCGGACATCTGCTAATTCAAGGAATTCGATATAACGGTCACAACAGACAATAAAGAGCATTTTTGTTTTGCTTAAAAAATCCTGTGGCTTTGTTTTTTTCTTCTATTTTTTCGCTTGAAAAAATTTAATAGACAAACTGTACGTTGAATTTTAGTGTTCGCAATGTTTGGCATGCTTTCGCCTTCAAGTCGAGGACTGATGATGACCACGTCGTTGTTTCTCTATTGTTTCATGGGGTTATTGTTTAATTTCTTTGTTTCTGCTAACTCTTTGAATATTGTAACTTTAAGGTTGTTCTCTGGCTACTTCTCTGGCCGGCTCTTTAAAACCTTTCGCGGAGTTCACTGGAAGAAAACTGCATTTCAAGTAAATGCTGATTTCGCATCGTATCTTTATCTTTCTTGTTAATTAACATTAATATATGATAGTTTTCTCAAAATGGATACAAAAATTGTTTTGTGACGAGGGGTTCGAAAAACTGTCCCAACCACAGAGCTAATTTGTTTAAAGTAGAACTTGAATTTGCATGTGAGCATGTGCATTTTGCATATTTTTTTATTACTGTCGCATTTATGGCCACATATCTGCACACGCTCAGAAACAGCGCGGATCGAGTGCCAAGTTGACACGAGAGGAATTAACATAGTATAAATTTACTTTAGTTATCTGTTACGTTGAAAGTATGAATTTCCGGATGCCACTGAAGAGATAGCGTGTTTTGAGTTTCTCATAATTGTCGTCAGCAAAAGACTCGTAGTGTATTTCACTTCTGTCATCCAGGAAACGATTCTCTGGAAGATGACTTGACCACCGCCCTACAGCTACGCCACTATTTGACCTCGACATGACCTTTTTTAAGTTACCTGACTACTGTGCATGGCTTTAGCTAGGCACGGTATAAATAATTGGTTTCTAGCTCAGCTCTCTATCGTTCAGAAAAATAAAAAATCGAAATTGTTGCTGTTTCAGTGTTATTGGCAGACAGATAAAAATGAAGTTTCAGAAATCACATGGCTACATAAATGAATGTTTTCATTTCAAGGTTAAATCTTGTGCTGATTATTACGCTGAATACTCAACTGTTAGATGAGTCAAGGGGAAGTGCAAGCATAAGAAGCACTCACATTCGACAGCACAGCCTTACATTTCGCCCATTTGGATGTGACCACACCAGATTTCCCAACTGTCCTTGTTGTTCGCAAGCCAGTGACTTGCCTCCCATTTCTTTGGCTGATTGCGCCGAAAAAACGTAGGGTAAAGTTCTTGCTTAGTGGAATTCTTAGCTAACAAAGATTATTGCTTTTGTGCATTCGAACCCACCATTTCCGTACATCAAATGTGCGCCCGATATGTGGAATCGAACGAACTATACGTTAATCGACTGCAGGTTTGAAATATACACTCCTGAGCAATCGAGGATCATCCGGCATTGTTTAGATAGGGACCTCATCGAAAGAGGAAATAGTGCAAGGATAAAAATTTAAAAACCACAGGTAAACGTAAATAGCACTACAGAGCAAGAAACACCGGCAGAACTAAAATGCATTATGCATGTACAGGTAATATTAGCTAAGTTGGTCTCAGTCTGAGGATTTGGGCCGAATCTGAGACGATGATTGGTGCTAGAGTTCAAATTCACTCCTACACAGTTTGCACTGTAGGTGCTTTGGGTTTTCTATTTGGCACGGTTTATGTGTCTAGGTCGAGCGGGGATATGCAGTTCATGACTCTTTAATCACGGTTTGCCGATTATCATATTGCAATCTGTTGACATCATTGCCCGTCATTTTACCAGAACATCTATCACTATCCAAAATAAGTTTCAAAATATGATCAGCTCAATCAGTGACTGTTATCCTGAAGTATGCCAGTAAACTGTTTTTGGACATTACAGTACCAAAAGATGATTATTTCTTATAGGAAGTTCTCTGGAAGGAAATCTGGCAGTTTGACGCTATGGCATCACTGCGGTTAATTTTGGGTTCCCTGTTCTTTCTGATCACTGACTCCTGTCTCTTGTTGTCATTTCTGACATGTGCTTCGAAGTGTTCTGTCAGAAGAATGTATTCCATGTCAGTTGCTTTTTCAGGGTCGCATCAGCTTCCAGGAAGGTTTCGCGGTGGGATTCTAGGTTATTTACCTATTCTTGCACGAAGTCCATTTTCTACTCCTTATAACCTAAAGTTCAGTTCATATGTGCTTTCTACAGAGCAAAATCTTCTCGACAGTGCATCCGTTAACTGCTGCCCTTGCTTATGCCGTTACGATCGACCCAGTTCCTGAGAGGAAAAGCTTCCACCCTTTGTTGAAGTCGATTACTATGGAGCTGCAGCGCACATTAGACGGAAGCCCAACTGGTCCACTGCATAGTTCTGTACTTTTTCGACCTACTCCTAGTTTTCTTTCAGACAGCGTGCAATCCAGTTCTCAATAGTGGTGTACCGTTGGTGATTCCGGTTACGCCATGGATCGCCTGAGGTTTTTTTCTCAAGCTTTGAGGCTGTCGTATTTGTCACCTCCAATGGACAGCAGGTTCATTGGCATAATTAATCGTTTGTTTATGACTGCAATGCATTAACAACAATAAGACTACTCCACATTTAAAACGAACTCTTCTGCGTAAGGTTAGAACGTGCGTTGTTAGCGGTGTGAAGGACGATGTGGTGCTAGAGTTTCTAAATTATCTAACCATTGTAGAGTCAGATAAGAAATACGCCGTGTGTGAAATTGAGTTTTAACACATTCCCGCATGGAAAGTCCTTCCAGAACTAAGTTTCGATGTTCCAGCAATGATGCATTCAAGGTCACTGAGATGCGCAAGCCTTCTCACCGTATGAGATTGACATTCAAAGAAAGGGAAAGTGAAATGAAAAATGATATATCGTTGGTTCGCTAAGGATGATGATGCAACCATTTCGTTCTGCAACTCTGTTCAGAGTAATTTTTATTATTGCAATGATTATATTTTTGTAGACTGCGCTGTTATTTCCTGGATTTTTGTTCACGGTTGGCTTGTTTTTAAACGGATTCGTTTGGCATGAAAGTTCGTCTGGAGCCTTACCGTTCACGACGTTCGTCGCTTTGCTATCTATGCTTCTTGGAATCGATGTTCCGTTAGTTTTCATCGGATTTCGTTTTGGCTATCGAAAGCAGGTAACCTTCTATCTTAAACAGAATCGGTTATAAATAATGTGTGCAAAACTTTTGGTTGCATGAGATTAACTTGTTAAGCTTTCTTGACTTCTCCATGACGGTGTTTTATATTTACATTTTCAGTCATGAATTCTGACTTTCGTTTGTACTCTGCTATGATAAGTCTAGCTAGTGCTGGTTTCATGCTTTTCTATATAAAAAAATCCGCAGTCATAATAAGTTATATGGCAGTAAATTATGCCCGCTATTGGTTGTAGTAACGTATGATATACTGATGTTCATGTTAGAAGTACTTTATTAAGTAGTTGGCGATGCCTAGGAAATGGGGATAATTTTGTTGGTTCTAAGATGTTCCCCCGGCAGTCGTGTAATTTGTTTTACTTCCGGCGTTTACGTCCCCTAAGTTTATTTTAACATGCATGGTTCCACAGACTTGGTTCTAGGATATTACGACCTCATATCTTTGCTTCTAGACTCTTAGAGTCATTTAAATAGGAAATATTAGTTTGTAACTTGCGCATCATATCGTTATTGCACTATGTGCATCATATCGTTTTCTAGACCATAGAACCTTTCTTTACTACCAGTGGTTTTAGGAGTGGATGCTCATTACATATCTTATCAGCAGTGTCAATACGCGGGCCGATATAGCGGAAATAATGTTAATGAGCATTATTTCGGATAATCGTAATTCATGAGATCGCTAATTTATGTTGCCGTCACTTTGCAGGAGACCTGACTGACAGACCATTTTTGTCTACAAAATATCATGTGCCTCCAGTAATGACTAAGAACTGCACTCCGTTGCATTTCTTTTTCGAAACAATCCAATTACTTCCTCCCTTCGCAGTTTTGGACAAGAAATCGAATATATGGTAACGCTGTCAGGGACCTGGCCATCATGATCGGACTGTATTTTTGTTTGTTGACCACTGCATTGCGTTAACAACTGCAAGGTTAATATCTATCGATGCCTTAGCTTTTTGCCAGCGTGACACAGTGAAGGGCAACGAATATTAACCAACAAGGAATTCGGTTCCTTAAACTGGTAACAGCTGTATTATAAGTTGCTGTACTTAAAAAGTCTCCAGTTAAACTAAAATTTGGCCGATGGATTGAAAGTAGTTTTCATAAGGATTAGTAAATCAACGTCATTATCGGGATGTTTACTACTGTATCAAATATTACAGAGCAAATATTAAGAACCGGTGTACTGGTAATTTTTAAAACGGTTAATGTTTACAAGCAGCCGATTGCGGGCCAACGCGAAGCTTAGAAAGGCGCAGTAGGCTCAGCAGTGAAAGTAATCAATGATTTTGGTCAGCGTTGCTTAATGCAATGAAGTGTTTATTTCGACCTTACGGCTTTACGGCTCTACATGGATCAGCTGCTGCAGACTTGCGAACAGTGACGTAGTCGCTAACAAACAACGACCAACCTTATATTAAGGACGGCCGAAACATCGGTATTGGTTTTTCACCTGGCAGCCGACCATGTTGCATGCGTTTAAGTGAATCACCTTTGTGCGCAGAGTGATGTAAAATCTTAAGTAGAAGAGAATGCTGCGACATTGAAGAAATTGGGCCGAGTTATCTAGTTTCCAAGCGAGCATATCGCAGGTAACATTGTATAACTGTTTCACATGCTCCCCGGGCTCGAATCCGTAGTTTTAGTGTTGTTGCGAAAGCATGTATGGGCGTTCCGGTTTCTAATATATCATGAGCATTTTACTGCCCTAGTCAATAGAATGTTGCAGAATGCATTTACATACTTAGGATATTAAATGAACCTCTGTTGTGATTAAACGCATCCCCCAGAATCTGAGGGCAAAT